GTGTGCGTGAGAATTTCTTTAATTAAAAATATTTTTTTAATTATAAATGTGAAATGAAATATTTCAAATATTTGTGCAGCATGTAATTTTGAAACATTTTTATGTGCCTCCGCGGTATATATAAACAGTTTCAATATTTTTCCTGCGGCACATCTATTTCATAAAAGAGATTACACATGGAAAATACGCGTAGCCTTTCGTCCGTTGCGTAAATAATTTCGAGATCTCTTACATTATTAAATTTCAATACAAAGCTATCCCTTAAAAGAGCATTTCTCATCTCGTACAAATTAATTTTTCTCTCTTTTCACACCCACCCACCCACACACACACACACACACACACACACACACACACACACGAACACAAAGCAAGAAACAAATTTTGTTAGATCGTACTTGATTTCTACTTCTGTAATTTTACAGAAATTAACACAAAACGATTTCTTTCTTTAACAACGTATATTTGGTAATATTAAAATTAAAATTACAAAAATGCAATATAAATATAAATTGTAAAGAATATCTTTTTCCTTTTATGTATCAAATATGTTTAATAATTCATTTTCAGTGTTTAATAACGATTGGCATGTATGCGACGTAGTAATCCGTACATATCAATATCACGATGCGGAAAGCTCACAGATCAATTAGTATGCTGCCATCCATTTGGATACTCATCGTGTTAAATCTATTGGTCAATGGTAAGAACGTAATAAATTAAAACTTTTTTTTCAGATCAAAGGATCGTATCGATCCGGCATTTAAATTATATGAAAAATTGAGTCCTGGAAACAAATGAATTTTCATTTTCAAAATAAATTAATTTACACATATAGGGTGCGTTCCACTTGGCGCTCACAACGCTTGCGAGCGTTATTTGTCCTTGTTCAACATTTAATAAACAACAAGGATGAAATGATTCCATGAGCGTTGCGAGCATCAAGTGGAACGCACCTATAGTATAGCTTATAGCTTATAATGTGATGAATAAAAGATACCACGGAAATAAGGCTCAATAATGAATAGTTTTGAATATAATGTATTATGTAATGGACAGTTGTGTTTGAAATTATCAAAGATATATGAAATATATGCAAAATTTGTTGTTAGAGAGCACCTTTGATACATCATAGTTCAGCAATTATTCATTATTCATTGAGCCTATAACGTGTTTTGTTCATTATATTATAAGCTACATTATATGTGAAAACTGATTCATTTTATCAATGCCCAATTTTCCATATAATTAGTGTGAGAGAGGTTCTTTGATAGATATTATATATACAATAATATATTATATACACAATAAAGATATTATATTATTATATATATCATAATATACATTAATTACAGATTTCGACAGGTTTTATTTAAAGATCAATAGAATTGAGAAAAAGAATTTAAATACTTCTTTAAAAAAAAAAAGTTTATTATTATTTAAACATGATCTAATTATAAGTTTATTAAGAAATTATTTTAAATTGATTAACATAATGAGAGATTGAAATACTAAGCAGCGATCATTTCAAAAGTTAATAACAACTTTTGCTCAAAACTAGGATAAAAAAGATCCTTTCAATTTTTTGTTCAACGCGACAATGGTATTCTGAAATTATGTTTGGAATTCATACGTAACTAAATAGTTCTGCGAACGTACGAGCGGACGACTCGAGGGATACAGAACGATGTCATGTTGTACTTGCGAAACTGTTGCGTTGGTATTGTGTCACTATCCGTGCCACTTATGGTATGAAAATATCGCGTTGATAAAATCGAAGAGCGTGTATTTGTTGACTAGGAGGAAGTAGCCTGAATTTTATGCGAAAAGGAAATAATAATTTGTGCTTTCTACACAAAATACTATATAAATTACAAAATCAGGATCTATCGCGCGTTGACCGACAAACAGGTGCTAACGAGAAAACCATTATAGTTTCAGCGCAAACGACCTGCAACGGTGGTCTGGGTAGAGTGGTTTACGAGAGACTTCCGGACCAGCAGCTTCAGGGTTTTGACGACGATGTGGTAAGATCGAGGAATTACAAAAATACTTCGGCTTTCAAGGACGTATCAGATGTACAGTCTGTGCAAAATGTGAAATTGGAGATTCATGCCTTACCTATAAAAATGAATGTTATAGATAGGGGAAAATCGTATAGCACCGACTAACTTGTAATATCGTCCGAAGCTTATAATTTTCATTTATCAAATTAAATTAAGTAATAGAGCTCTACATGCACGAAAGGATGCGCCCTATTGTTTTATTTACTATGTATCATAATCACACATGTGTATTACATCGTAGAGAATGTCGTAACAGCTTTTGTTAACAGCGTATGTTTTAAACAAACAAAAGTTATCTTTCAGAGCTGATCTCTTGTTTCTCAGATAACGAAATAATTTTATGGCATTATATTCATTATATTTAGTCTATTAGTTATAAGAAAATAGCATTAATATGATAGCCAAAAATATCGTTTTTCGTGTACATCGACCAATTTGTTTTTAACCCTTATGCTGATTCTAGGTTGAGTTGATGGTTGGAAGTCTTAATCTTAATCGGTAAAGTTGGCCAACTTGTTGCCAACTAACGCTGATTGGCCAACTTCACCGATTAAAACTAAGACCTCCGGCTACCGACTTGTTGTAGAATCAGCATATTATATCCAATGTTAGATAAAATAATTTCCGTTCTTTTATTAAGTATGATTTGAATTACAAATAATTTTCGTTTTTTCAATTTTCATTGTCTAACTCAATTTATTTTACAAAAGCTTGGAACGGTCGATACTACACTACTTTTCTCTATACATATTAATAAAACAGTTAAAAAAATCATTATTTATTAATAATACAACTTTGATAAAAATTTTCTTATTTTATCTCAATCATTTTTTAAAAAGTTATCTACTTCTTATTGAAGTAATTTTTGATCCCCCTCCCTTAGGTTCTCTCTAAATTGCTGCCAAATTACTTATATTATTTTTAAACACAATATATAAAAATCTGTAATGTCATAATTTCATCATCATTTTGTTAAAAAATATATGTGATACATCTTCAATGCCGCTATCGCGATATCCCTAATTATCGCTCTAGTTTCTCACATAATTTAATAAAATAACTTAGAAATGTAACGTTATAACAGAATTTGGAAAGTTATTTCTGAAAGTAACTTGTTATTATTCGTCAATTATTGTAAAGTAATTATTGTAAAGTAATTTTATTTTACACCGAATTTTGATAACATTTTTTTTTAAGTGACAGCCAATTATCTGCTTCGCTATGGTCAAACACTTTTTTATATAATAACACGCTTATGTACGAGTATAATACTTTTTTCTTTTAAAACTCGCATGTTTCACTCATGTATATGTACTTGTACAAAGTAACGGTAAAAGTAACGTTTACATTCCTTACCATTATTTAAAAGTAACATTATTACCAAGTTGTTACTAAAAAAAGTAATTGTAACGATCGACTTTACAAATAATAACACCTAGCCTTCCAACTCTGGGTTTTTACTTTTAAAATTTTTAGATATTTTATTTTTAATAATAATTATAACGAACTTCCATCCGCGCTCCTCGAATTTCAAATTTTTTACATACAATTCCGCGACACAATGATCGCGAGAAGACATCGTATGACATAATTGCAATAAGGTATTCGATGTTAAGAAATTCCGTTTTATGACAGGTGCGAGACTCGGCACCTCCGTTTAGAGTCTTGGAGAAGTGTCAAGAGCTCTGTCTGCGCGACAGAACGGCGACGAACAATCTAGTCCGCGCATGTACGAGCTTCGACTTCCAGCCCGGCAGCAGAATCGCGTCCTTCAGCGGCGCCGCCGAGTACGAGGAGAGTACTTGCTATTTAACGAGGGAACAGGCGCAGCCGGAGGGCATCGGAAATCTCATGCTCGTACCAAATAGCGTGCACTTCACCGAAGTGTGCCTAACATGTGAGTATTCGCGCATTGACCAGAAAACATCGACGGAAAAAGTTGTATGCATCGCGGTGCATTCTGTTAATTGAAATCGCTCGTTCACGAATTTTGCTTGTCAGAAAGACGTAATGATTTTTCTCCTAATAATGGTGGAAAGTGAAACGGACTGTTCGCCGCCCGCAATTCTCTTTTCTCGACTAAAAATAATTTTTCTTCAAGTTGATCTGGAGAATTCTTTAAAGATTGACTTAATTCTATTTCTGCCCCTATTTATTTCTAATAATTTTTGTTTATTAAAGCTCACTGGTCGATATGTCTATTTTATTATCAGCTGACAGAATAGAGAGGGAATGCCCAAATCGTCGTTACGTGTTCGAAAGGCATCCGAGAAAGAAGCTGAAGCTACCGTTGACAGATATCAAAGAGGTCAGCGCCGCTAACAGAACCGACTGCGAGGACAGGTATACTCGCGGAGATATTAAAAATTATTGCGCGTCGAGAAAAAGAAATAGCGTTTTAATTTTATGTTTAGGTGCCTCAACGAGTTTAGTTTCGTCTGCCGATCGGCAACGTATGACACTGCCCTAAGAAGCTGTTCTCTCAGTCGCTTCACTAGGAGAACTCATCCCGAATTACTGGAGGACGATCCAAATTCTGATTATCTGGAAAATACTTGCCTTAACAGTATGTTTCTGGTTAATCTTTGTGTAAAGTATTTATGTACCTTATCGAAAAGTTGCGTCTGAAATCTTCTTGTAATAATTAGAAATTGTGCGAAAAAATATAATTAAAAGACTTTAATTGACATACTCGTACTAAATACCTCGTACATCACACGTACATATTTACATTAATTATGTATTTAATTATTAAAATTAAAGAAGTATTTTTTAAACGTCTGATCAGCCGAAAGACGATGCGACGGACTCACAGTATTCGTCAAAGAAGAAAACAAACGTTTACGCGGCCCGTTCGAAGTGGATATATACACGAATCTTACTTTGGAAGAATGTCAGGCGCTATGTCCTAGAGCGGAGAAATATTTCTGTCGCAGCGTCGAATTTGACGAGCAAACGCGACAATGCGTCATATCCGAAGAGGATTCCGTTTCGCAAAAGGACGACATTGGAGTTAGCAGCAGCCCGAGTCATCACTTTTACGATTTGGTGTGCTTAGATAATCGTGAGTGTATGCAAAATTTTACAATAATATAAATTTTAGCTCGTTTTGCCTGTTTTCGTTTCAATCTGCTGTCGGTTTTGTTTTATTATGTAAATAACATACGTGATAAATTAAATGACAAATAAAATTGATTATTTTTTCAGAACTTATCTAATTAAAATTAATTTCCACGTTTCAAGAAACTATAAGCTATTATTAAACTATTTTTCTCTTTAATTTACTTTTACTAAAACCTTGGGGTTTATTATAAATTCCACTAATTACTAAACCTTTTTATAATTTTATTAATTTCACACTTATATATTTGGTTTTGGTGTAAATAAGTAAAATACAGATTTAATCGAATATGTATATAATTTTGAAATTGCATTACCTCTGCGATATTAATCCTGGTATGGCATATCCAGCTTTTTTCGAAACATCTATTTATTACTCGTAACATTTTTACTAATAAAAATACATATATTTAATATTATTGTATTCCTTAATGTTTGGTGTTTCAATTTAAAAAGAATTGTTACAATACGCGCGTTTATTTTTATAAAAGTTACGGCGATCAAAGTTGGATTAAACGTGCCATACTGTAAAAAATATATTGCACCTGCGACAAAATAGTGCAATGTAATATTGAAGGGCTAATTGTTATTAATAGCTACGTACGGTGCTAGTTGAGCATTCAATATCCTACTCTGTATTATAATATATTATATTCTAACGAGGCATAAGATTTTTAATTAACAATGGTCAGTTGGTGATTCACAACTCGTTATCAATGCCTACTTACGAAGCGTAGATCCGTCCGTAGCGCGCGGCTCCGAATACCCGGACAGCAGCTCGTCTTCGCACCTCTACTCCGACGGTCGTCGTCCGGACACGGCTTTCCAGCGTTACCGGAACTCGCGTCTGAGCGGCGAGTTTCATTCGGAAATCACCGGACGTAGCCTCAGCGAGTGTCTGGACGAGTGCCTCCGGCAGACGAGCTTTCAATGCCGTAGCGCCGTTTACTCCGAGCATTATCACACCTGCCGATTAAGCCGATTCAATCAAAGGGACGGTAACCGGATTATCTACGATGCCGATTATGACTATTACGAGAATCTCATGCGTGAGTATCGATTGCCTGTCCGTTCATCGCAAAGAAGGAGACGCGTCGCGTCGCTCGATGAACAGTTCCTGCGTATTATCCGAGTCGATCCTAACTGAAAGTAATTTAACGTTAAAGTTATAATTTTATACTCAATCAACAATTTAAGTGTGATATGACATGATGTTACCTGTTAACAGTTACATTATCGAGTGCGAAATTATTAATGTCTATTAATTAATTATTAATCTCATGTAAATTTATAATACTTATCGTTAATTCTATTATTTACGAAATATTTGAAATCGGCTCGGTTCTTTTTTCAAACTACTACTGTGTCGATGTGATATTGACTTGTATCACTACGTGATCGTGCTGCGGCTTTCGAGAACGTTTTGGAACAGCGATACAACTTTACATAGTTTAATGTTTAATTTAACGACCGCATTGTACCAACAGATCAATATCTAGACAGCGATCGCGATGGCCCCGGATACAGACCGGATCCCTTGGGACAGGACACAAACTTTGGACGACCCTCTTTAGGAAGACCCGGTTAGAAACGCTTTATTAATTCAGAGTAATATCGTATGTTGACGCGTCGTATAAAGTTGTGTAATTATTCATATAGCTGCTGAGTAATCACATAAATTGTCCTAATGGGACAAAGATATTAAACACATATTTATAATCACCATCAGACACAATTGTTAACCATCATCTGTTAAGATTATGTCGTAAATGTCATATATCATGTCATTCGAATAATAGGCTAATCCTGATTGTATTTACACTGCATTGTCAACGCTAAATGTGATCAGCTAATCCCGAGTTTTATTCTTTTACCATAATCGCACTTCATATTAACCCTTTAAGGATAGAAACTTTCAAATAAAAAAATTTAAAAAGACTTTGATTCTAAGGATTATAATATTTGTAGGATCATTAAATTTGATTCTCGTCTGTGGAATTTTAAAATTGAAATTTAAAAAAATAATCTGATTATTATGAAAGCTGGTTGTATGAGGCTCCTGATTTTGCTGAACGTTTACCATTTGTTTGTTTACCAGTTTCTTTAAAACATTGAACATTTAATTTACGTAATTAATTACCATGTTGAAACTTGGTAAAATGTTTCTTTCAGGATATCCGGACGATTACGACAAAGGATATACTAGCAGCGTCAAACCGGATCGTCTTCCAGATCGCTATCCAGATCGTGTACCGGATCGTTATCCAGATCGATATCCCGATCGTTATCCAGATCGCTACCCCGATCGTTATCCAGACCGTTATCCAGCAGATCGATATCCTGATCGCCGTCCTTTAGACGATAGATATCCGGATAACAAATATCCTGAACCTGACAATTATCCTGATCGCTATCCTCTTGGTGACCGATATCCCGACCGTTATCCCGCAGGAGATCGTTATCCCGCAGGAGATCGTTATCCTACAGGAGATCGTTATCCTACAGGAGATCGTTATCCTACAGGAGATCGTTATCCTACAGGAGATCGTTATCCTACAGGAGATCGTTATCCCGCGGGAGACCGCTATCCTATCTCTGATCGTTATCCAGTTAGCGATCGATATCCGGATAGATATCCCATGTCCGATCGATATCCTATTAGAGGAGGAGGTCGTCCTAATGGCGTCAATAGATATCCCGACGCCGGAACTCTGGGGAGATATCCTCCAAGTGACCGATATCCCGTGGGTGATCGGTATCCCGCGAATGATCGATATCCCACGAGTGACCGATATCCCATAAGTGATCGATATCCCACGAGTGACCGATACCCCACAAGTGACCGATATCCCGTAATACACGGAGTTCGTTTGATTCCAAATCGATATCCTTCCGACATGATCGATCGGTATCCCAATACAATAGACCGGTATCCTTATCCGGACGACCTTCTAGACCGATATCCTATGGGATTAGGTGGTGACAGATCTCCTATTGATCGATATCCAGCTAGTGGAAGATATCCAGACAAAGATGCTTATCCTAACCGGTAAGTCGCGAAATTAGTCGATTTATCAAATTTAAATGTTTTTTTACGTATCGTGACTCGTCCCTTTTCTATTAACGTGTTATCTAGTAGAAGTTTTATTTACTGTATATGCTGTAATAAAGTCTCTCTCATTTTCCTACACCGAAGAAAAAAATACTAAATCTTAATACATGCGCATGTAATAAATAATAGCTCAATTAATGGTATTTTATATCGTTATCTAGCTATTTTATATCATCTAAAATCTTATATTAAGTCGCATTTATTTTTTACAAGAGTTTTAAAAAATTTCAATTATATTATATAACAGTGACTAGGTGACTCGAGTGCCGCTAAATAATAATGATAATAATAATATAATCTTGATGATTTGTCGTAGAAAAATGACGTTGAGATTCAATTAAAAGCAGGTATCCGCCGCCAGGAATGTACTCGCACGGATTCGTCGACGATGTTCGCGGTCCTCAGAGTAGTCCCGACCCGAGACCTCATTATGCCGGTGGGCCGTACGGTCCAACACGACCAGTCGGAGGAGGCGGAGGAGGCGGAGGAGGCGGAGGAGGCGGAGGAGTCGGAGGATACGGAGGATACGACGATGGCGGTATTGTCGGTGGCGGGTACATAGGTGAAGGTGGGGTCTACAACTCTCGTCCATTTGGAACTGCTGGTGGGCCCATTATAGGCAGGCCCCCGTTAGTATCCAGATGCGATGAGCAAGACAATTTCAGACAAGTTGGATCTCGTACCAGAGTGCGGAAGCCATTCGTTAGACGATACACCACCGCCACGTCGTTGGCTCAGTGCGAGAGGGAATGTGCCGATGCTAGAGACTTCGTTTGCAGGTAATAATATATAATGGTCGAACTTGTACAAGTAAATATAAAATTAGACGATTTAAATTCATGTCGAAAAGTGGTGAAGTTTGAGGCGAACTAATTCAAAAGATTATGCTTGATGCGGATAAGGATTCATCTCTCTCTTTCATTGCTATTTTCCATTAGATTTAACTATATGCGCTATCTAGAGAAAATTAGAAAAGTATTTTAATCTAAATTAACTAAATAATTTTCAAGTAATAGTACATATATGATTGATTTGAGCAAATCTGTACAATTAAATCTATAAAATATTCCAGTTATAAGATATTGAATTCTGTCATAATAATTAGAAATTCTGATTCATCTCATCAAAATGCATTCAGTCATACATCTTATTGGCGTAATTAAATTGATTTTCTGTATAGCAATTATAAAACTAACAAATAATTGGAACAAATGGTGTGTGTGGAAATTAATATGAAAATTAAATTAGATTCAGCTGTCATATATTAAAATAATATGCAAGATAGAAGAGATAATTCTACAAAGAACGTCTCTCTCTCTCTCTCTCTCTCTCTCTCTCTCTCTAGGACATTGTTCAAAAGATGTGACTACAACGATGAAACTTAGAATTCCGACGGTTTGTTCAGGAGATGTTTGTGACCCAGGGAGCTTGAAATTGAATTAGGAATGATCCGATAGCGTTTGTTTGCAACTTAGAATTCCGACGGTTTGTTCGGGAGATGTTTGTGACCCAGGGAGCTTGAAATTGAATTAGGAATGATCCGATAGCGTTTGTTTGCGCAATCGATTGGACAATGCTCGCAAATTCCCAACGTCATTTGCAGGTCCTTCAATTACCGGCCGTACGCTGCGCCTTACGGGGCCGAGAGGGACAACTGCGAGCTCAGCGACCGGGACTCCAGGGACATGGACATGGGCAATCCGGTTTATTACGACACGGGTTCGGATTACGACTTTTACGAGAGGAACAACGGTCGCCAGGGCGCAGACGGGGAATGTCTGGACGGTAAGCCGCCTTCCGGCCGTATGAGGCGCTGATAAGAAAGCTGTGAAACGCGTGAGACACTCGAGCGCATTTGGAACCGCGGGGTGAAGCATGTGCTTTTTGCAATTAGAAATAAAATACTCAAATTTTTACCTGCACGGAGTAGTCGTTGGATTTGATCTTCTACACGAAGCAGTCAAAAACGCATTGAACACAATTTTTTTTTTAACCCGTATTTTATTAAATATACAATAGTAAGATATAACTCGCCTAGAATTAAGCTATATTTTAATGATGAGAATTTACACACGTTTATTGTATATAGAATTTTGCACTATTGTCACACGACTTCACCTTTACGAAATAAATATCTAATGCTGTTTTTTTTTTATTTATAATTCTTCTCCCTCTTGCATGTCGCATGTGCGTAATCTATACTTAATATCTGCGCATCTACCAGTCTATATTTCATCGTCGGTGATGTTTGTGATACATTTTTATGAACAACCTCGATCGATAATTTCCCATCCCTATCCAACCTTGATACAATTTTTTAAACTTTGTATCTATAATAACAAGAGATATAATATAATGTTTTTTTGATTGTGTACCTAAATGCTTTAAACTTCAACTTTTACCTCCAGCTTTTGACATATTAATTGCCGACTATCTCTTGACTAGTTAGTGTTCCAATTTTATTTTTACTTTTAACGTTATGCAATATTTGTCCTGCTCGGACTTTGAGTACTTTTACTGTCTCTCGTCCTCTTCTTCACTTGGCCGTTCTTTTTATTCAATCACGCGGCTTAGGTGTGAGAATATCTGCTTAAATTTTTGGTTTCGCTTAAAATTGAACTAAAATTATTGCATTTTATGTAAATGATAGTTGTTTATTGTATTGACTCTCAGTAGATTGCCTATATACTGCGTGCTAAAAGGAAAATGTGCTTGATAATTTTCAGGGCCGATCCGTCATAACGAAACTTATTTCACAATTACCGCTTCACCTTCCAATAATTTCTTTTATTATCAATTTAATTAACTTCGTACTATCGCGCACCTCCTCGATCGACCGTTTTCCGGGAGCCGCGTGCATTTGCCAATAAATTACGCTCTGTTACGCTTTTAGTGAGCCAAGTCTGCAGCGAGGACGGGATGGAGTTTACTCTGAGGACGCCGGAGGGATTCATTGGGCGAATTTACACGTACGGTTACTATGACCGATGCTTCTTCCGCGGAAATGGCAGGACCATCAACAAACTCCGTATCAGCGGACCTCAGGGATACCCCGAGTGTGGTACACAGCGTGTAAGAACAAAAATTTCCGCTTAACAGCTTCATACACTGCGAAATAATTTCCGATTTAATTCAAGTTAAAATCTTTTACTGCGCATGCTCAAGGAATAATCACAAAATTAGATCGCGCAAATGGAAAATTAGTCCACCATAACTTTCAATTGGACATTGTGAATATAAGAATTATTTATAGTTTTATTAAAAAAATTTCTTATTAGCAAAACATGTCTTTTTTTAATGGTATCTGATATTCAAATTAAAATTTTGACGGTATAATAAACGCTTCGATGGCGAATGTTTGCAGTACGGCGATACGATGACGAACATCGTGGTGGTACAATTTTCGGACTACGTGCAAACCGGGCGGGACAAACGATTCAACCTCACATGCATGTTTCGGGGACCTGACGAAGCTGTCGTCACATCCGGCTACATCGGTGCCGGGTATGCCAGGTCATATCGATCGAGAGATCGTGTCTTATATCGAGAGTACGATCTTTAACGCGTTAATTGCCATAGGTATCCCGAGACACTGAATTATGTAAATAAAACCATATCGAGAGAAAAATCTTTGAACTTACCTAATAATATTCCTCGTTTTTTTTACAATTTTAACTAATTATATTTTTACAGGACTCTCTTTTATATCACACTAATTTTAGACAAGCGAGTCAAGTTCTACATCTTTAATTGAGCAAATGAGCAAATATTATGGTATCGTTTCAATATTATTCTAAGCTCCCCTTGCTCATTAATTTAATTAACATACATCCATAATATGGATCCATGTATAATGTTTAGCTTGTTACTGCAAACGGAGTAAAATGCATTTCCTTCCATACACGAGTGTAAAATTAAGTATATAACACGAGGTGCAAGCACGCTCGTACAATTTCTTTTATCACACAATCAGTACTAAATTTTGAAGATATTTCATGCATACATTCTAATCCTTTATATCTTATTTACTTATACATATGTATATAATGAGATATATTTATGCTAACGGCTCGTCTATTAAAAAATTAATTGTAATATCGGAAAATTTTTGTTTTTATGCTATTAATTATAACGTAATTTTTAAATTACTTCATCTTTCGATCTAAAAATTTGATTTTTTATTAAAAATATATTTGATTAAAAGATAAAAAATCTATATCCATTAGTAAAATTATAATTAAAAAACGAGAGCTAATTAAAGCGCCGATTTATGTTATCAGCATTACATTTTTCATGTGTATCATCTTTTCCACCATGGGCGTATCCAGGATTTATTTTCAGGAGAAGGAGAAGTTTTCAATTTTATTATCATGACATAAACAGCAATTTTTAAATTGCTGAATTACTTTTTTGAATATTTTAGAATTTAGAATCTCCTTCTGCCATCTGATTTTAAAAAAGAACGATATTAGGTTTTGTAAAAATCATAATTTTCATTTTTTTCCGAAGATAGCACAGATAAAATACAATTATTAAAAACGAAATGCGTGAAACGAAAGTTGTGAATAAAGTACTAATTAATAAAGTACTAATTAATATCTTAACACATTTTCTGTTCTTTGATTAAAAAATCTTACAAAAATTTCTCTTATGCATCAGAAACTCTGTCAAAACTCTAACGAAAGTTTCAGAAGTTATTTATATGATCGTAATAAAGAAAAATAAATTTATATAACAATAAAAAATTATTTAAAGTCAAAAGTAAAGTTACAGTTTTTATAATTAAGAATTAAAAATATAAATAAATAATTGAACCTGCCAATTCTTTCCATCTCTGGATATGCTCATATTTTCCACCACATTTTCTCTCATTCGATTTGTAATTCATTTAATTTCGCTAATGGATCTCGTACGTCCACTATACAGATCGGGGTCTCCCATTCCTATCGAATATCTCCCAGCGGAAAATACCTTGAGCTCCAGAGTACGCTTGCTGATTCTCTATCAAGGTAGACCTACGACGACCATCGCCGTTGGCGACCCTCTCACTTTCAGACTCGAAGCTCAAGATGGGTAATTTTCACTTATACATCTTTTAACACGATATCCAATTAATGGAATTACGAATTTATATGTTAAACGGCTTATAATGGAAATAATAGTTTGATATCGCTATCCGATTCTATTTTTCGTTAATTTCCAAATTAATTTTTGCTTATCAGATACCGTAAGAGCTTCGCATTAAAAATATTCCATAATAATCGAGTACAGATTTTAATAACCCAATCATTATTGTCTATAGGTACAATTACGTAACGGATATATTTGCTACTAACGTTATTGCAAGAGATCCTTACTCTGGTAGAAGTGTTCAACTGATAGACAGATATGGGTAAGAAACATTGAAACTCCTACGAATGAGAGACAGCAAGAGAAAGAGAGAAAAATAACAAAAAGAAAAGTATTATAATAGTATTATTTATACTGAGGATCATGCAACATCGGCTGCATTCCTATAATCACTGCCAGTACTAGAAATCTATAGTTAACCGTTTACATTATGTGTACTATATTTTTTCAACACTGGCAGTGAATATCGGAACCATCATTGCACTATTTTTTTTCTCTATCTTGGCTTTTAATGAGATATTCAAATTACATAATAATTAAATAAATTAAAACTTACCTCCGCAAATTATCTACATTGAAACGGGAATTTCTGCAGCTGTCCAGTGGACAACTACGTGTTCCCGGGTTTGGATCGCCTCCGTGACGGTGACAGCCTCGAGGCCCGCTTCAACGCCTTCAAAATACCCGAATCAAATTTCCTGGTGTTCGAGGCGAATGTACGAACGTGTCGCGACGGCTGCCAGCCAGCGTATTGCTCCGGTGGTACCGGTAGAAGTGAACCGTCCTTCGGCAGAAGGCGAAGGGACGTAAATAACGATACAGTGGCGGATGAGGACGAGGTATCGCCAATAATGGTAACGAATGATGACTCCAACAATACGTCGACGACGATTTTCAACGCGACCGACATTGCGGGCGATGAGCTAGATAACGAAGAGGAGGAAGAGCACGTCAGAGAAATGATAGAGGTATCAAGATAGATCGCATTCGTTTTAAAGGAAAGAAAGGTGTCGTCTTCATTCTACAGCTAATATTATTTGTATTTTGATAGGTTCTCGACTCGAGAATGGACATTGAGGAAGATAGTATCGTTCAGAAGCAAACTAAGATTTTGGAAAATATTTGTATAACTCAGAACGAATACTACGGTTTGGTTACCGCAGTGGGCATCCTCGTGGTGCTCTTGGCCTCCGTTGTTCTCTTATCTATGCTCGTTTACAGGTAGATTTACATTTCACCTCTGAAATTTAATTTCTCATTTGCATTTTATTATTTAAGAACACATCTCAATGAATAAATAGATCTTTAAAAATGAACCAATTCATAAGAACAAATTAACCCATAAATACTCACAAACTTGTAGTATTATTAATGAAGTATATTGGATCTCATCTTCTTTATCTATTAAGTGAATTTAAAGTGATTCGTTATTTCAGAAAATACGTTTATTCCGTGATTATGAAAAATCGTAGACTCGACAAAACCTGCAGTCGCAGCAACCATTCCGATGAGCCTTACAGCAGTCGAGTCAACAACTTTTCTTTCATGAGGGCAGGTCTTCAGAAACCGTTCCAGGCATCGTAAGTGCTAAAACGAATTGTATATGCGTATTTTAAATTCTGAGCCACGCAGAAAATGCGTTAAGAAAAAGAATATTTAATATTACACTGAAAAAAATTTCTGATTAAAAATGAACGAACCAAAAGATTCAAATCACATTAGAAGTCTGGTTTGTTCAATTAAAATTATAGTAGATTCAACCAGAAAATGCTGATTTGCCCACTTTTAACTAGAATTCCAGTTAACGCAGTTAAACCAAACTCTTTTTCAAGTGTTGATATTTAATTATATCCTCGTTCATTATTATAATATAAATTTGTAATTAAAGTTATAACAGATAGTAACATTTAATTAGATCGATCTCGAGATCAATGAGCAATGCTATCAGCCAACGTCTTGCCTCATCGTCCACCGCTTTGGAGGGTGCTGTGGGATTATCCACCAGTCGACGTGGCGGTTTCGATCCAAGCGAGCCGATCTACACCGATCCTTCGCTTTTTGAGGTCACTCATTGCTCGAACACCGCGAAATCGCCTCTCAGCGACAACTTTCATCTCATGTAGAAGAAATACGCAAAAAGATCGATCCTAAAATTACATAACGCGAACGATCCACGCTTTATTTATTTACTTTAATGAGAGTATACGAAACTGACTAACGACAACTAATCCGTGTTAAATCAGCATTCACGATCTATTCTGTCACTAGTCAATAATCCACTGCCAATCTCCCAGCTAAAGACTCTTTTTTTCATATCAAGTATTTGTCAATAATCCACCAAATGGATTCCAATTAATTCAGATGATTTCTATTATATCTTCTTTATATATAATATTATTACTGATACTCGAGAAGTTAAAAGTATTATTTTATAAAAATATTTCCTATAAAGATATTCCAGAAATAGCATCTGGTATCTCTTTCAAACGACATTCCAAAATGACTGCAAAATAGCTCTTACAGTAATATAGAAATTTAAGTTTCAAACAATCAAGAGTATTGTAATAGACGCAAAGAAAACTCGTGGTGATATATTTAATTTTACGATAATACGACTAAATAATAAATTAACTATAGGTTTCTTACAGAATTTAATTTTTTTAAAACTTTGACATGTTTCTTCTAAATTTGGAATAACGATATAGACGAGTTTTCTTGTGCTCTTATACTTTAACTAAAAATGACTGATTCAAACATACATCAAATAGTAATATGAATAATATGAATCAAGACTTTTTCATTCTACTCTCATGATTGTGTCGATTGTTCGCATTTGCGTCAAAAGTCATAATTTCGTAACGTTCGCCACAAGCTGAATAATATCACATAATGTAATAATTATTAGCTGGTAACATCATCAGAAAACTTGCATTTATTTTGACATTCTAATTGTGCATTTATGAGAAGTAAATTGGTATTACATACACACAATTATGTTTATATTTTATGTTATGTAACTGACTTATTTTGCTTACGAGCACCGGCATCGATGCGTCGGTGCAACGACAACAAAAATAAAGAAAAATAATAGATACAACGCGTCCATGCCATGTCCAACAAAATTTATCCGTCTTCCTTCATTCGTCTTTAATCCTGTCTAGTTTGTAAGTGAAAAGCAACATTTTGAGCCTGGCTTCCTCCTTGCGATAATGAGCCTCCTCTAATTTGAGCCTCGCCTCCTCCTTTAACATGGCAGCGATGTCCACTTTCATCTGCGCTTCCGAAAGTGCAAGCATGTGCAGCTCTTCCTCCCGTTGCGCTGATTTCTTCTTGCGATTATGCTCCTGCACAACGCGAGGTGAGATCAAATTGTATAAAGCACTCGGTCCCGGATTTACGTGATTCTCTTGGTGCGCGATTTTTTCAAAACCATTGCCCATTGACTGATCAATCGTAGGAGAATCCGCGTTTCTCCTTACGAATTTCTCGTAATAATCATTCATCGAATCGAGGAATGCAATAGTACCGCAATTATCTCTATCGGCGATCTTTTGCTTGAATGTGCCGCCAGCTGCGAAAAGTCAATTTTGATTAATTCAAGTTTCTATTATTTTTCGTGTAAAAATAAGAAGTATTCTAATCGATTTCTTCATTTATAATATTATTGTAACATTGAGAATGATCCGATCGGAGTCGAAACGTTTGAATTTGAATTTAAATTTTTATTTGTAAGAAATATCATCTGTATATGTAAGTTTTTATTTGCAATTAAATACTGAACTGACTCTGAGCTTTTTCGGAATTTCTAATTCTTTTTCAATATTAAATTCTCACATGTATGATCCTGTAAAATTTAACATTTAAATATTGATTAAATATTAAAGTATTATAATATTTTACAATTATTGTCACAAAAAAATATTTCTCTTAATTTTTAATAAAGCTATAAAAAATACAATTAAATGAATAATAAATATTTAAAAAATGTGATATACAAATTAAAAACTACTTTATTCATAAGAATTTCACATTTTTCTTTCATCGATATTTGTCGTTCATTATTCTAACTTTATTTATTCGTATAATTATTAAAATTAATTTCTTCAAAAACTACATTTAAACAAAATTATTATACTAAATATAGAAGAAACCGGAAAAAGTATATTTACGATTTGAATTTTCGCGACTATCCACATCTTTCTTCAAACAATTTGAATTTTGAGGTCCAGCAGTGCATGAAACACTTTGCAATGTGAATGGCTCTGAATCCTTCGGCTCGAATACTACATTTGGTGGTAAACCAACGGTTCCGGCAGGCATTGGTACATCTGGGACATTCTGACCACAAGTTATACCTTCCCAACATTGATTTCTCGCCCTTTCGTCTTTTGTCGATTGACAAATCGCTTTCATATTTTCACTAAAAGATCAAAAGTTTTCAACATCTATTCTCTTGGATTTTTTTCTTTGTATATAAATTTTTTCGCACCGTTAAGGCAAACCACTTACTAGCAAACTTCTGAGCAACTTTCAAGCAGATTTCTTTCAAATAAAATTTTTATTCAAATTTTCAATTTTACCATCTCCTTTATGTTAATTCTTACAAGCAAAAGTCAAAATATGAGATTCGTCAAATGTCAAATTACATCTCATCATCTACTAAGTTCAATGCCAAGCTCAATTAATCTCGAGAACAATTGCTTCGTATAATGCCGAATTACCGAAATTTCTTTTCCTCACGATTACGCTTGCAGGCCTTCATATTCTCCCAGCAACGTCTGAGCTGTACGGTCGAACGCGCGCCCCGGGACCCTACTATCAAATTGTACTCCTCGGTGATTCGCGACCACGCCGACTTTCGTTTGCATATGGAGATCGGATCTGACTTCCTATTCTGGACGAACTCGTATTTGCTTATCAGCGATATCAAGATTTTCCGTTCCTCGAAGCTGTATGTCTTACGGGTGCCCTTCAGAGATGCGGATGCCATTTTACCACGAGTACGAGCGTTCTATTGTTTCGTTTTCTCTCGGAGCGTTTCCCTTATGTTAATATTAAGCCTAATTCAGACTGGCCTTTGTTAGTATTTATTATATTTCTTGTCAATCCTGTTGAATTTTTGATGTTTCGCATCAATTTAGATTCTAAAAATTTACACAAACTTCTCTCGGTATAATAAATATCTATGAGTCATATTGATAAAAATGAATAGATATGCCGGGACACGAAAGAATTCTTATTCAGTCAACTTGCTCAAAAAGACAAAGCTCTATATATAATATAGTGCCTGATATATGTATGTCAAATTTTTATTTAACTTTCTATGAGCAGTTTTGAATAGGTAAGTGCTTCTTCAAATGTGATATATTTATTGTCCGTGATATAGAATGGTCGTAATAAAAATCTCTCTTATGATCGGGTAAAATTCATGACGTGATCAATCTGAAAATATAATATACGTAACCTACAAAAATATTGGATGTCAATTAATCTGACATTCCAATATTTTTCTTAATTGCTCATTTCTTTCAATGTTTTATACATATATCTAATATATATATAATTATTGTTTTTACATAAAGACATATTTAACTTATAATTCAAATCTCTTTATCACAATTTTTCGATGAAATAAGGTATACAAAATACAATGACACTCTTACAATAATAAGAGATAATTCATTTTATTTTATTTTAATCTATATACAATAGCAACCAGCATTATAACCATTGTAAACGGAGATGCAAAATATGCAATATGTTGCTTTAAAAGTTATATTTAATAATTTAAAGCATCTAAGTTTAGTCATAGTTTAAGTACAATTTAAAACATCAAGTTTAAGTACGTAATTTAAAATAAACGCAATAAATTCTCGAATTTCTATACAAAAAATAAGTAACATTAAAAAAATAGAGTTCAGATATAAAATATTTAGGATAACAGATTAATATTTCTACAACTACATAAATAGTTGTATTTAGTATAGCTAATAAATTTGAGAAGATATTGCATATAACAAAATTTTATCATTTTGAATATATAATACAAAATTGTACGGAAACTTATTGCATATTATGCATCATTTTTATGGCATTTATATTTTTTAGGAATATAACCCTTTCACCATAAATCCACTATCCCGTCTCTGGGGATGAGTGTGTGGGAGAGGGCTATCTTCCAATATCGATAGACGCGCAACTTTCATACATATATATTTTTCTATATTTAAATTGTATACATATATGTGTGTGTGTTTATATATATATATATATATATATATATATATATATATAAAGTTGGCAAATGTTGCAAATCTTTAGTACAAAATTATATAGTAGATTTAAAAGCAAATAAAATATTTTTTCTTTAAGTAACATCTACCGTATACAGGAACAGAAAATATCGTCATGTACTGCGAATAATCTGTTGTCACAACGACAGGAACATTATTCCGTATCATAAAAGAATAACATAAATCCTATAAATAAACAATTAAATGAACAACATAATAATCATTGGTTTGCCACTTTACAACATAAAATTGAAAAAAATTTCCATTCATATGCTTCCATGTAACACAGTCATAGTATAAATAGTCTAACTATGTCCTAAGTTAATATGCGATATAATTTCTGCAAACCAATAATATTATACTCTATTTCACGTTATTATTACTAAAACAAAAATAACTTTGGTGTGACAGATTGTACGCTTTAAGTAACTACTATATATTACGACTGATTTGCGCAAAAATGTGGGCCAAAAAACAAAACTTAAAATTGCGATTATCCTCTCTTCTTATAAAAATAGAATAATCAAAATAAAATCAATTTTAACGTGCAAATGCAGTGCACTGCACATTCACCTTGCACGTGATCTCATACGTGCGCTGCAAACCACCATAATTATACGCTTCATACAATAAAAATGGTAGACAATTGTTTCATTCTCGCGACAGAATAAAATTGGAAGAAAGATTTAAAAGTTGCCTCGGCAAGCATGTTGCTTGCGTATATCAAGAACAAAAGATTTCGGAGTTAAATAAACGGAGTATTACTACGCATTAAAATAAACACTACAGATATCTTCAAATGATACTATAAAAAATGATCCTTACGATCCTCAAATTAGATGGAAAAAAAAATCGCGGATATCATTGATGTATAAATATCGGAAACCTCTGGCAAAGTTTCATACATCTGCAGTATATTTTATCACTGGGAAATCCAATGTTTAAATGAGGATCGTTTTTACACATTGTGACTCTTTGAATATTCTTCTAGTTTTATCTAATATACATCTCGTATAATATGTATACGTGTATTATATATGCATTTAGTTGCCTAGACAATGCCACATGAATTTTCATATGACTTATACTATTTACGTCAGTGATAACGCTTCTCGAGTTGAATTAATATCCAACAGCGGTAAAAATTTTACGTTAGGATCTTAGATGCGTAAAAGCATGATCCAACTCGAGCTCATCATTGGTATATTCATAAATGTATGTATGTACACGTATATACACGTGTATGTTGTACTCACAGTATGATAAAAGATGATCAGCGATTGAACATGATTACGGAAATGTATATAAACGAAGTGAATAGATTAACTACGAATGGAGTTAGAGAGAAGCGCTTCGAATCGAGATATAAAGCTTTTATGCGATAATATTCCTGTCAACGCAGAAATATCAAAGAATGATGAATGGAATTAATTGTTGAATTAATTATGATCTGACGCAATAAAATTATTAATATAATTATGTACCGTAAAGTCATTGACAGATGATTCGGTCAAAAAATGTCATAAGAGAGTCATTTATCTCTGCGACGCCATATCGCGATCTAAATTTCATTCAGGAATGTACTCAGCGGTACTTTGAGCAATGATTAGAATTATCGCTTAAGGCAACTTTGCGCACCCTTTGTGACTGCGATGGCTACTTTTTGCACTCATTTGAGTTCTCTTCTAAATGATAAACGAAACAAAATAAAATACGAAACAATGAAGAAATATTATACAAGTTTTTTATATCAGAATTATGTTGCTCGGTAGGTAAATGTATTAGATAGAATAGATAGGTTAAGAAACAATTTTTTCTAAACTGCATTTCCCTTCGTTTGGTTTAAATATTGATATCATATCATTTCATCTTTCCCGTGTTCGACAATAAATCTTACGAATTCAAAATTTTGTATATTTTTGTCAAAAATTTTATACTTTATTAAATTAAAATTTTTATATTTAAATATTTAAATTAAAAATTCTGTGATATTGTTTTAGAAATAAATTCAGTTATTATTGTATAATGTTTGAAGAAAATATAATTCGATAATACAATCTCAAAAAATCGTTTATATCTTCGAATTATAATAACATCTCGCGTTCTTTATTTAAAACTTTAATATTGTTTGTGCACGAGGGATTGCGATTGGCAGGTTTAGAAAAATGTAAAGTCCAGCTTTGTAATTGCTAAAACAAATGTCTAAATCGTCAAATGATAAATTTAATGACTACTAAAGTGAAAAATGGTTCTAAAACACAGCCCTAACTTGACGTACTAAGAAATAGGACTTTCTAAAAAGACCTTTGGCTTCCTTTCCCAAGTTGGAGTGAAATCGTCGTCGATATAGCGCGCTCGTGCGCATTCCATCAACACGGATTTTCAAACTTAACAACAATACTAATGTTCGCCGCCATATTATATATAGACGCGGAACAGTCCCGCGAATACGCTCTTCGACGCGGTGCAGAGTTCGTGCAGAGTTTTCGCCATTTCATGCGACGAGACAAGAGCAGCATATGCTAGCACGAATTACCTTCCATATCATCCAACAAGAAATTCTTCTCTTCCTTTTTCATATTATTGCTCTTTGACACACCATTTCGTAATTTTGGTTCGAAACACGGCTGCAAAAAAAACGAAATTATCCTTTTGAAATTTATTTAAATTTATGTAAATTTAGAAATAGCTTATCACGCGAAGAATTATTTCTCAAAAGCACATCGAATCATATATTTGTAAATAATTATAAAATAGATTTTAAAGGTGTCTTTGTAGAAAGTCATACTTCTTAATATAACCGTCGTTTATTTCAAATAACAAATATACATATTTTTAGAGCTGTGAAAAAAACAAAACTATAACCGTTAATATTATCATTCAATTAATACGAAGAATTCCAATTTAGTCGATTATTTAATCGAAATTTAACGACAAAACAGATTCAGTCTTAATATAATTCGATCTTTGACATTGCACACGCAATTAAAATTTACACGTGAAAACATATTAATCGCGCTCGTAAAGGAGATAGCACAATATTTGACTTTGTCTTCTCTTAAGTGTGTAAATTATGTTATAAGATAATAAATCAATTAATACCAATATTTTATCATCGTCAAAGTTAATTTCGAAATTATTGTTACAAAAATTAATAAAATAATTTAATGATTTTTCAGTTATATATAAAATATAAATAATATGTTTATTGTGCTTTCTTAATTGAATTTTTAACTAGCGGAAGAGAAATACCTATAAAAGCGATAAAATGAAAAGTTGTTAATAAAGTGTCATAAAAATTGATAAATACAAGTGCATTACAAATAAATAATTAGAAAGTCTATCGTATGTCACATAAATCAATCAACAAGATAATCTCTTGCATTGTACAACAAATAATTAAAAAAATTAGTTACGGTACAATACTAGCGTAATACTGTTCTGAAAGCAATTATTTTAAAATGTTTCAGTGAGGGAATTATTAAATAGCATATAACGACAATTTTAAATTTCGTTTTTTTAAACTTTTAAAGCAAAGATACGCCAAAATAAATATATAAAATTAAGTACATATCTTTCGGTAGAGTTAACCCAATTCGTACTCATACTACACTAATATGATAACTTTCTCCAAAAACTAACAGTAAAGCAGTAGTTCTGAGAAAAATATAGATATTTTAATTCATTATTTAGATTCAAAGTTTTAAAACATCATGAAATTTAAATTATACAACCGCGTGTTTTATTAATCAAGCCAAATAAAGCATCTTCCCTAACAACTTATCGTAATTAGAAGAGCGTGATAACCGCGATTACGAGGAGTCACGATTTTGCATTCGTAGCAAAGTGCGAGACATGAGAAGGACAAACGAGATTCAGTCTTAAGTTTCCTTGATGTCAGCAATGCTGACACGACACATGCTATCAATACATGGGGTGTTATTTAGAAGACATGTCACTCACAGTCTCGCAGATATTCATGTTGCAGCAATTCTCTATGGTAATTTCGCACTGATTGTCCGGTATCTGCGGTCGGGATGTGAGCGGCGTAACGCCTTTGCTGACCACATAGTGCCTCTTGATTCGTGGTCGCCTCCGTAATTTATTTATATAATAACTAAGTACGGCGATCATTACAAGAAATAGAATAGTGAAGGCTATGAATATTGGTAACAGAATACCATTCTGGAAACTGTTGGTGAGTGTAATTCTTTCGGCCGTTTGATTAGAATCTGCGCACCTGTTGATATATAATAAGATATTGAGCATTTATTGTATATACATGCATATATACACACATAAGGATTACTTCCAAATCATACATTTTTTCTGAACCTTGTTAAATGACCTTATTGCGAATACAACGATTTTATCAAAAATGTTAATATTTTTTAGCATAATTGTAATTTTTAAGCTTCCAATTATTTTTCTACGTTATTAAATAATATTGGAAACACAAAATTATCAAATGGGATATCTTATTTTTAAGAAGCATATATACCTGCACGACGTTACGCTGATACTAGGTGATCCAACGCGATCGCTTGCGCAATAAATCGCGCAGATCTCCTCGATGTCGCTCGGTTCTTCGCACCGAGTCCCTTTGGTATATTTACACCTACAAAATGGTCTTCCATCTTGGACGGAACACTCGCCGTCGTAAAGGCAGTAGTCATTGCAAACATCTGTCTCGCAGCGGTCACCGCTAAACGTGTTCGCGCATTTGCATTCAGGAAGTCCGTGATGGTTTACAGTACATTTACCACGGAGGCAGTAATTGTGACAGAGAGATATTTCGCAAAAAGATCCAGTAAATCTGCAAGAAAAGAGATTAAGCGAATTTTTATATTGCTTACCAAACGAGGAAACATTGTAGTTATATGTATGTAGTTATAATTTAATTGTCATTTGTGAAATTGTTTATGCAATTGTGCATATAAAATTATAATAAAAATTTATTCGATAATTAAAAATTAAATTAAGATGTAATATATATTATACATTACTTTTTATATTTGTAAAAATTAAAATTTCATCATTTTAATATAGTCATTCAAATTGTGGCAAATAATTATAATCAGGCTCGATTTTATTTAAAGTGTTATAGTCATTAATATAAATTTATGTCAATAACATCTATTTAACAACTTGCTTTTAATATATGCTCTACGAAAGAGGGGAGAAAAGAATAATAATTGTAAAGATAAAGAGATAGTAATAGAAGGATAGGAAAGAGTAGTTGTTTATTTTAAAAAGGCTAGTGGTTTATTTAGCGGAAATGAAACTGTGAAAATAACATGAAATGTTCAAAGATATAGAATAGAATAAGAAGAGATTAATTATTTGTTATATTATCATGTTACTATATAGTCATAGGTTAAGTTTAGAATGATAGAAAAGGTTGTATGTGTGCGTGAATCATGAATGGATTAAGATTTATGGTAAACTAAGTTCCCTTCTTGGCTATTTTTATAAAGCTGAAGTGAATAAAATTCTTCTTTTTCTTCTTCTTCTAATATATGCTTCTACTCACCCTTTTTTGCATCGGCATGTATTAGTAGTTTTATTCAGATGGCCATTTAGGCAGTATTTGGAGCTCTCGGTGGTCAAGTCCGATTCCTCCGTGCTGGTAGTTAGATTATTGAACGTTTCGGGCTGCGGTCGTAAAACAGGCACCAACAGGTCCGGTTTCTCCTCTTTCATCGACAGGATCGTCGTGCAATCGATCTGACCGACGTTGTCGCGTGTCACTATTCCGGCCGGATCGGCGTCCTTTTTGGAGTAGTACGATTTGAACATGGACGGAAGATCTCCAGCCTTGATGTTTTTTGGTATGGTCCAGACCGCCCTGTATACCCAATCAGACCAGTATATCGACTCGTTATCTACAGCCAGATAAATCGGCTGTTGATTCTGTTTATGGACCAATAATTCTCGCTGACTGCCGTCCAAGTTGCTGCGTTCGATCTTGAAATGGATCCCTTCGACATCATCTATCCAGTATAGCTTCTGTTCCGCGTGGTCAATTGCCACCGCTAAGGGCTCATATAGATTCTCTTTGATGACAATCATCCGATTGCTCCCGTCAAGATTAGAACATTCGATACTGGGATTTGAGGTGTTACTGTTTGGCCAGTAAATGCGGCTGAAGAAAAAATTTGCCATTATTTTTAATTTTTCATCATTTTTTTTTTTGTTTATTTTGATATTCAAGAACACGAAGTAAATCATCTAACAAATTTATTTCATATTAATCCTTTGTCACCCAAATTGCACTTTGAAAAGCATAGTCGATATTTTGATTGTAAATTTTGATAGATAAATGTATAAAAAATAAGTAAAACACAATTCGACTTCTATGATAGTAAAAATTAGCTGTTAAAAAACTTTTACAAATATGCAAAAACTTTATCAGATTTTTATGTAGTCCAGAACAATATACAGATCTTTGCTGAAGCTCAAAGACCCAAGTTGCTGACAGAAAGTGCAAAATTTTCAACGGAATTTTTAAAAATATAAAATGAAGTTCTTATGATGTCCAAACTAGAATAGAATAAGATAAGACGACATCTCTCTTGTAATCTTTTTATGTGTAATGATAGAATATAATAAAATATTTTATATAAAAGATTTTTTTAACGAAGCAAAATGAATAGACAATCGAAAAATTCCAACACAACCAACGCTTTTTTCAGAATCACATTTTTAGCAGCGCTTTCATTTTTTTTTTTTTTTTCATTACAAAGCATTTGCTGACAATGCAAAACCGATGAGTGTATTGAGAATTGCTACGACAGCTATCCATATAAAATCTATTCTTGTTTTGTATTTTACTTTCTTTTTATTTTATTTTAATATTATGCATAATTAATACTTCTATTTTATGCTATACTGCTTTATTTATATCAAATCATCGATATTAGAGACCCTCTAATCAGAATAACGTCCCCAATTTTAGTGCGGTTATTTTCCAACTAATAGATATACATACTATCACAGTTACACATTTTTGCTGAAAAATCGCATCGCCAATCTTAATTTTCATATTATTTCGTGAATCTGATTAGAAAATGTCTAATCGATATTACTAAAACAATTTCCAAATTAATGTATGATATTTTAGATATAATAAATTAATAAATTTTCTTTACTAAATTTAATCTCCTAGTAAACATTATTAAATAATAATGATATATTCAGCTTTAATGATCCTTTAATGTATTTTCAGAATTTCTATTTATATACTGCTATTGTGATTTACGATTTCTATTGATGACTGTTTGACATTTCTCGATTCTACCAAAGGATCAGGAATAATCCTATGACGTAGGACATTGTAAATGGCGTACCTGTTACACACGTCGAGGGCGATGCCACGTGGGCTGCTCCCGGTGAGATTGTGCAAAACGACAGGAACGCCTGGTTCGCCGTTCACCGGTACGTGCATCTTCGCAATAATATCCTTCAAGGCGTCGGCCCAGAACAGAGTGCGCGACGGCGTGTCGAAAACGACGCCGACGACATGCATTCCGTTCTCTTCTACGCACACGCAATTGAATGATGTAACAGCGACGTAAGGACATCTCACAGGTTGAATTTACATTTCACAGTAAACACGCATTTGTTTCGAATTTCTTCCGCGTCAGAGATTTTCAAAGAGATAGATACGCACAAGTATTTTCCAAAATGTTAATTTATGTGGCATCTTTGTTATAACATTATTAACGAAAGATTTGTATTTGGAAGAAATAAAAAAAAGGATGTTTATCATCGATGAATTGGTCGCAAGAAAATCGATGCAAAGTATCCTCTCGATTTATTATGTGTATGTAAGTTCTGAGTAAATGATTTTTCGTTAATAAAACCGGTTCAGTTGGATTGCGCAAATGTCTACAAAATACGTTGCAAATTATACGGAATTTCTTACGTATCTTAAAAATTCGTCTTATCAAGCGGAAGCGATTTCATTTATGTGAATATAGACCGCAAGAATTGCGCGTTTGCGTGAATTTTGATATCTTCTATATTTTTTCATTTTCAAGATAAAACTAGTTAATCGATAAATCAGAAAATTTCTCAAATATAATATATTCCACAAATATCATAATCAATTTTATGTAAATAAATAACATTAAGAAAACTATCTGACGTACATCTTTTTACTTTAATCTCGCCATCTCAGAGAGAGACAGAGAGAGAGAGAGAGAGAGAGAAAGAGAGAGAGAGAAGGAATGGAATACTATTTTTATATTTATAATTAAAGAATATAAATAATATATAACAAATAAGACATTAGAGTGAGCTAAAAGAAAGAAAATTCTGAATCTTTTAAGACATTTTTAGAATATCCGTTATTATCAAATTTGATCTCGTTATGGTAATTGAAGGGGATAATTTACGTGCTTTGTACTTACTCTTCAATAGGGGCGTTGACGTGAAATTCCTCTCCGTGAGGTCGTTGCTGAATATAGACACGTTGTTCCTTACGTCAGACAAATACATCGTTCGAGTGGTGTCATCGTACGTTACTCCGGTCAGGGCAGTGGCTTCTCCGATACTAGCATGGCCCATACGTGTACTGTTACGCGCGAAAAAGTCGATTTCGTTACCGATCACCACGGCCAAGTCTGCAGAAAGAAGAACCTTTTAGAATATGATCTCAAGTTAAATGAACTATCCGAATAAAACTATAGGCTTTCGAGAATAAGCATTATGGCGCAAATAACATTTTAATGAATAAATAATCTTTTATTATAATCAGATTCAGATTGTATCGATAAGTAAAAAGAAAATAAAAACAATTATTTTCATGCTTTCATAGTGCATGCAAGTGAAGTGTAGAAAAGAATGCCATCGCAATTTAATCTATATCGTTATTGAACATTTATCATCGATTAGTTAGAAAGTAATTGATATTATTATTCATTATTGTTATTGCGTAATCACTACATCAGATGGACCTCGTGGAATGCTTGAGATTATCAACGATAACATCGTATTGACAAAAGTAAATCTTTAATGTCAACGATATTTTCGCGAGGAAAACTACGATCGCACGTCGCACATCACTTGAGAACCTGTTGCGTTTTCCTCGTAAAACATTTACATTTCGGTTTACTTACATTAAAAAAAAATGTTATGTATATCTAATATGCACCTTCATGTTTGGTAATAAAAAATTTTACAAAGTTAAATGATATAAATATCACTAAAGTGCTGCTCATAGGTATAGGTATAATATGCACGATTGCAATCGTTGGACATAATTTAAGTGAATAAGCGACAAAATATGCAAAGAATCCCAAAACTGCCAAGAATGTCCGAACAACAGAAGTAAATAACACAAAAAAAGTACTAAACGACTTGTTAAGTACTGGCATTTTCGGGTACTTATTTCATATACGTAAGCATACAATTTGATAAGATATCGTAGTATTTTTACCAGGATAAAGTATATTTGTCGCGTTACAAGTTAATGTGTTTATCAATATTCAAGCTGCCACACACGTAAGAAAAGCACTTCGATATTACGATACATGCATGCATTGAGCATCGTGTGAAAATTTCGACGGGAAATATTCTAATCTCTAATCTGTCAATAAGAGAATTATCGGGCGTCAATGTAAATCGATATGACCGAGTGACTTGGGTTCATCCGAGTTTTAAATGAATTATCTCGTTTCTTTTTACCATTTTCCTCGACGACAAATCAGACAGAAAGTAATACGATCACTCTGTAATCGGTTATCGTGAGACAACGAACGTTCTAGCGATAGCTATTCTAGCGATCTCTCTAATCTAATATTGAATTTAGGCTCCTATATTCTGTAACTCTTAAGGGCTTACAGGGGTAAAAAAAATGGTCAAAAATTTTAATTTTTTTATTCGATAGTACAAAGTCTCAGGAGTATTGTGTTAAAATTTCAAGTAATTTGGTGAAGAATTGACGGAGATATGATTTTTTAAATATTCTGCCTCGGAGACCCGTACGGACCCGCAGGTATACGGAGCAGGTATACGACCCTCCGGCAGCGCCCGACCGTCGCCGTAAAGGGTTTTTCCACCGAAATTTCTTTGTGCATCCAAGACCCCTTTTCCTGTTTAGACGTGATGGAAAAAAAAAAAAAAAGAATGGAAAATTCTCATCTTATACACGTATAAATGTATGTAAAACTTTAAACGCGTTTTTCTCGAAATGTTATTTTCAAAGTCGGTGTCCATCAGAACTCAGCGAATATGCAACCGATCAATTTCTACTTTTGCACACACTTTCTACACATATATGCCGAGGCCCCAACGTTCTTATTTTCAACTTTTTTTTTTTTTTTATTTTACAGCTACAAAATGGCCGACTTTTAGTGCTGAAAAACACGATTTTTGCTTAAAAACGTTCTAAAAAAATTAGAAATAAAAAGAAAAATATTCGGGCATCGTTGGGGCCTCGCTAAACATGTCCAGAAATGAAATCTTTTTGGATTTTTGCTTTCACATAAACCTATATCAAGTTACGAGGGACACCGCAAGGCGCTTCTTTTCTACAGCGTCTCCGAAAAATGGCTGCCATCGGCTGAATTTGGAATATTTTTACTTCAAATTTTCAGAAATTATAGTTCAAAATACACTTTATTAAATACACTTTATTGCGTAAATGTATGTCATAACGGAACACAGAAAAAAAATCACAAAAATATTGTATTTTTTCACTCAAAAGATCCCTGTAAGCCCTTAATGGCGGTGTCTCTTTCATCATATTGTCGTTGCGCACAGCTTTTTTATCATGTATAAAAACTGCGCAATGACAATATATTGACACCAATACTGTCGTTGAATTACAGTACAGAGGTCTTATGCCCGTTTCTATTATAATACAATAATAGTTTAATTTGAATCTTGATTCAACTTCACCTTTTCCCAGTTTTAAAAATTAGAAAAAGATGAACAAATTGAATTGAGATAAAAATTAATCTATACTGGTATTATAGAAACAGATATAAAAATAATTAAAATAAATAGATCGAGTTTTAATAGGTAAAGATTTACGATCACATACACATGTCATTTGAATAGTCAATGAAATGACATGTTCGACATAGAAAAAAAAGAATCGAAACGGTGGAATTTATTAAATACGCCCTACTCTCTTCGACGCTTTTTATAATTGAAATAAAGAGAGCATTTCGAAGAGAGAAATAAGATCAGGAAAGCATAACTCAGCAATAATAAAAGAGTTTTATTCCTTCTATTACCATTTCTGTTTCTGGTTTCCCATGTTCAGTATCTTGAGACTTCGTATAATGTTGTATTTATTATCGTTTATATATGCAAGATTAATTACTGTCTGATTAAAAGCCACTACAGATCTGTTTTCTTCACGTTGATTCGTTATGCATTATGCATCACGAAATATCGTAAACATCTCCATCTTTAATGTTTAGTTTTACATCAACAACGTTATGCGTTATTTATCCCGTCGAATAGAATGTAACGTTCGTTGAGAATCGTACATTTGGCATAAAAATACTGTCCTATTATCTAAATTATTTGTTTGATCAAGTGAAAGTTGAGTTACTAAGAGCTGTAATTTGGAACAAAACACTTAAGAAGATCTGTGTTCTAAATAATATCGACAGTCAAGAATGAAACTCCGCTAACGGGATAATGATATTGTATGTCTGACATACGATATTGTATGAATAATGATATTGTAGGTATATAACTGTCGTTTGTCGACGATTCAAAGGGTTAAAAAAAAAGAAAACGGAAATTCGCACTTCCCGTAACGCGAAACGTTAAGAAACACGCGCAAACGAATCACACCTCTGAATGAAAAATTTGTGCAAATTAGTTTCGCACTTTGCGACATCTCTTCATTTACACACCGCGCAAGTTTGTTTTTATACCAAACATCGCATATGCAATTTTTTCATACGATAGAGCATGATGTGTAATTTATCTTATTATCTTATTTATATCTACGTTAACTTCTTAATCGTCGAGTAACGCAAAAAGATTTCGTTGCAATCGACGGCGGGCACGATGGTTTTTATTCACACATTTTTTATAAAAAAAAAAGTATTCGCCGATAATATTACATCATTACTCGAAGCAATCCAAGAAGCCCGTAGCAACTAAAACAATTGTACGATTTTTTTCAAGATGAATCGATCATCTTCGAGATCATGAAATGCGTAATTGATTCTATTTATAACTTTCTGAGTTGAAAAATATATAATAATCGCATGAGAGACAAAGAGAAAAAAAGAGAGAAAGAGAAAGGGAACTGGTGCTAAAAAGAAATTTCTAATTATAAATACAAAATAATTGTGTTTCTTGATAGAGAGAGAGAAACGGATCCTTTCTGATTACATAATATTATTATTATTTATATTATCATGCTCTACACTTTGATCTTTGATTACTGGCTTTTCCAAAGCGTGTCAACGTCAATACTCAGGCAAACATACATATTATTATATCGATCATATTCCCGATTATCCGACACGTATTACCTAACAACTCCGATATAAGAATGAACTCTTGAACTCGAATTTTTAGCGATCTCGATTGATTGATTTCTATTGTACATACGCTCTCTCTTTCTTTCCTATTTCTGTTTCTTTCTAGTGTCATTAGGAACCAGGAATTAGCTCAAGATATAGCAGCTTTTTATTTCTTGTTACACCGTGAACAAAATAAGGTTGCACAAGGTCTTATCCGCTAAGTAACACGATCCGTGGAAACGCGCTCAGGTCTGAACAATAAGAGCTCCGTTTTTTTTTTTTATGATTAAACTGGTGTACATTCTTTATTTTTTAAAGGGACATAAATATTTTTATTATAATTAACAAAAGGGAGATAACAAGTTCTAATTCAGTGTAACAAAATTGAAGAACGATTTTGCTGAAGTAAAAATTTAGCCAAATATAGATCTAATAATTTTATTGGACCATCAGAACAATTGTATAAAATGCTCAAATTAATTGCTAGAAAAATGTCAAAAGATTTTGTATTAAATAAGTTATTGTGCTTGAGATTTTTACGTAATTATTTTTATAATCCAACTAAATGATTCTGAAGCTAAACTTTTAAATGCGCTTGAACAAAATAGTTTTTTTTTTTTAATGAAAATCTAAGAGGAAAAGAAGATGGCTGGCAGAAATATTAAAAATTTTTTGCAGCAGTATTCATCGTACTTGAAATTTTAACTATTTACTGATGTTAATAAAATATTTTAATAATAAATTTATTTAATAAATAAATTTATAGAATTTAATATAATTACATAAAAATTATTTAATTTTAAATAATAAAATCAAATTGAATTTGCTGAATTTTTAAATGCTTTAGCAAAATCGTTCTTTCCATTAAAAAAAAAAACAATAAGAGGAAAAAAAAATAATTGGTATAAATAATACTTTGACAACTTTTTGTAGCAGTACTCACAGTGCTTAAAATTTTTACATAAATATTTTCATAATTCAACAAAATTATTTTCATATCTTTATATAAACTAAACACAAGACCTAAACTTGAAATACCTCAACAAAATCGTTTATTCCAAAAAAATTAATCTAAGAAAAAAGGAAGATAATCGCTAGAAATATTTGCAGCAATACATCTCGAGCTTGATACTTTTACGTAATTATTTTTTACTATACTAATTCGACAAAATTATTTCAGTATCAAGCTGAAGTTTTCAGCAACACCGTTCTGCCCACGTAAAACAAAATCAAATTTAAGAGGACAAGAAGCAACCGTTTCGGTGTCGGAATTTCCACGACCCCTACGACCCCGTCTCTCATTTTCCATTGACGTTCATGTGTGTGGGTGTGTGTGTGCGCCCGGTAGCGCGCTGACATTCGTTACGTAAAACATGTAAGGACGAGTGTGGGCGGCCGGTCGCGTGGCACCTAACGATCGGCGACAGATCAACGTGGACGCAAATTGCCAATCACCATCGCGTTTCATTCAGCTTTCGTGCGTTCGTCGCTTTCGCGCGTAAAGAGCATATTGCCGAGCGCAAAAGTGGCGTACGTGACGGGCCGCCACGAGTGAATGGAGTCGGCGCTCGTGCACCAATACCAGAGCGCGCGTACACACGTACGTGGCACACGGACATGGGCCGGCCACGTCGTGGTGTACGGTACCCGCCGATGCCCGACTCTCGTCAAGTCGGAACCCCCGGTATTTAATCGGCTGTTCCCAGCCGATGTCATCGGGGGATGATCGCGATCGATCGTCCCCCGACGTTACCTGTCGTACATTCGTTAATGTCTCTCTCATAAACTTACCCCAGGACCGGGCGTACGTTGTGACCACGAGGTTGCATAGCAGGCAAAGTGTGTTCAGTAGAAAATATCGCGTCTTAGCGGAGATCATGACTGGCAGTCGTTCGGCATTCGCGTGAACAGGCCGTGGTGTGATGAGGAGCATGAGCAGGCGACCCGGGCTCTCACGTATCCCTCTCTTTCTGTCTTCGACAGATACACACGTCCCGAGAAACGTCAGGCACGTCCTCACACCGTAGCGGCTGTGCGCGAACTGAGGCACGTAATCATCAAGCCGCGTCTCGTCTGCGCGGCCCGCTCCGAGCGACGACACACTGTGGCGACGATGTGTCGAGACTGTCGAGTCGAGGCGCCGAACGCCAACGGACGGCATTCGGTTTTGAAGAATGGAGTGTCATTTCGAACTCTATGCCTCTCGATCGTTCCTGCTCTTATCCACTTGCCCAGCTGCAGTTTTAACAGTTTAGCATTATAGATACACGATATTTTTCAACCTGAACTTTAATTATTATATAATAATAATATAAAATGTATTATCCGCGCGCTCCGAATAAAATATTCTTGTAATTGATAAACGACAAACTGAAATCTATGTTATGCAAATCTTTGCTTACAAAATTTTCAATTGTGCATTAAGCTTTAAGGCGATGCTAAATCAGCTGTTTTTACCATGATTCTATTTGAGGAGAAAGATTCGAAATTGGCTTTAGGGATTGCAAAATTCTTTCACAGAATAAAAGTACGCACGAAAAGGTATACAGCAAACCCTGATTTCACGAGAAAATCGGGGAAAAAATTAAAAAATTCACTTTTTCTGGCAAAGTAGGATCACGTTCAATACCTGTTTTTACCGATGCTCTACAACGCCATCTATTTCAAGACGGCGGCCGACGGCGCAACTATACTTCTAAACGCAATTTCTGCTCTGTTGTCGTCCTGATCCTCGCATAGATCGTGATTTCTGTTTGAAAAGAAATATTTTTTTCTACGCATTTAATCTTGGTTCCGCAAACTCAGGATTGTTCGTACAAGTCATCCCAATACTGCAAGACGCTTATTTGCAATCTGCGATCTCTAAAACTTTTATATTAAGTGATGAATGTTAACCTCAAGTGTACAGCTGTACGTGTCAGAAAAAGTGCATTTTTTTTCCGATTTTCTCGTGAAATCAGGGTTCCCTGTATACCTTTTCGTGCGTACTTTTATTCCGTGAAAGGATTTTGCAATCCGTGAAGCCAATTCGGATATTTATCCTTAAAAAGAATCGTGATAAAACAGGACGACTTTAGCATCCCCTTAAAGGATCAATTGATCCTGCAAATATAATATTTTGATCTGTTTGTTTATGAAAAACAAAATTTTCTAGAAATGCCAATATTTTGAATTATTAAATTATTGTACGTATAATATTAATTTTGGTGTAATAACTAATTATAGAAGAATAAAAAATACTTTCTTTTTTATCCTTTTTTCAGCAAGCAACTAAAAAAAAATGACAATTTTTCAAGTCATTATTGTAGCAAAATGAGCGATATTCTGATTCTAACTTTTCAAGAACAAGTAAATGAAAACGTCTGCTTGTTTGTATCCTCTTCATTTTTTTATCGAAATGTTTTATCGTGGACTTTTTATGAGTTTATTTTTTGCATGATCAGCTAATTTATTGTCAAAAGAATCGGCTATGTTATAATATGCTTTTTAACTGCGCCGTGCTGTGAATCGGGTGAATTGTTCGCGACGGATCGCAGGTCACTTTATTAATTTCTTCATAAGGTCAAGTGCTTTAACCGCTAATTGGTAAACGCCCCGATTTATTAAACTCGATTAACAAATTCACGTACTATGTGCGCATAATATAACGTATCATTTGTCGTTTTAATTTATTATTTTCTATAACGAGTTTATCACGATTTTCAAAGTGACTCATTATTTGCATTAATACTCTTTTGGGTGCCAAAAGGCAAATCTTTTAACATATTTTCCACACGTTCCTCTATACGGATCTATCTAGACAAATTTATATAATAGCACAAAGAAAATTATACAATCGCAATTCACGTGCGTCTTTATAACAGAAATGTGTTTGGATGATTTTTCTTTATTCTCTGAAATCTTTGGAGTGAAATCTAACTCTAAATCTCATTCTTATGCGTGATCTCCAATAGCAATAGTAGTATAGTGGATGAGACTGTCAGAATAAGAAATTGATCAATCACGAAGTCGAATGTTCTTCAACACTGACTCAATTGTCATTCTTTGTCACTCTTTATAGAATTAGATTCCACTCCAAAGGTTTTAGAGAGTATGGATACGTTTATGCAAGTTTGTCTGGAATATAGACATTTAGCGAGCTTCTCTTTCAGTAAGTCACGGTAACATCTAACTCCTACACACAAAATAAAATCATAGGATAAACTAAAGTGGTAATCAGATTATGTATTATCCGTAATAGATACCTAAACAAAAGAATTTGCGAAAAGTATCCGTCCAATAGCATGAGAGAACATCGCTGCGTTGACTTGCTTGGGATACGTCGTTTTAGGTCCTATCAATCAACTGTTCTATTTTCTACGACGTGCAACTCGGAGCGGATATTGAAGATGAATTCGAAATTGGGTGCGCGATCGCTACGTCACTGTACAATCGCGTGCCTCAACTTGTGGCCGGCACGCGCTAATTTTCCTCTCGCGCTTCCATTTAAACGCGCCGAGTCCTTACCTTCGGCTCTCGCCATTCAAAACAAACGCGAAAGCTTTTATCACGGACTGCATGTGATAAAAAAGAAAGGAGAGAGAACTTTTGAATGATTTCCAAGCTCGAAGAGATCGAATGTTTTTACTTGCGTTTGATTGAGGACGTGAAATATTCTTTCTACGCGATGCGAGGAACTGAAACAATGAAATGTAAAAAAATTGACTACAATGCACTTAGGACTTCTTTCACCAAATCTGATTAACGCTAATCGATGATTACCTCACATGGCAATCATCACCATTGCCAGCGTGAAAACTAAATAGTTTGTCTCAAAAGAGGAAAGAAGCGTTTCTAATACATTAAATTGCTGTTGGTATACTTTTAATCGTAAGTTAATCGTCGACTAATTTAATCAGAATTTGGTGAAAGAGGCTTTTGTTCTCAAATCACAAAGATAATTACGCAGATTGGAGCAACATTTTTTTTAATAAAATGTTTCTTTAAACCGTTTTTCGAAACTACTAATTATACATGAATTTTGAAACACGATTTTAACTCTCGTGCATTTTGATTAATTTGAAAACAGATAATTTATTTAAAAAATTTCCACATACACATATGGTAATTAATTTAATTATCTAATAAAGTAAACACACTATGTTAACATCATAAATTATTATAACATTACATTTTTTTATTTTTGTAGGTAATGTCATGTGTATTACAATAACAATATTATAATTAAAATTTAATAATCAATTTTTATAACAGCACTGCATATATTACATAAAACTTTAAGTCGTTACAGTTTATAAAGAGTTTATAAAAATATTTACACTTTATAAAAAAAATTTACAGCTGATAAAGAGATTTCTATCATAGCCCACTATATTATCGACGCAAGGTTAATATTTTACACTATTTCGTTTTATAAATTTAAAAAAGAAAAAATACATTATAAAAATAAAAATATTATATAATCGATTAAACACTTATAAAAATTAGAAACGTTACAAATTCTGTTTAAAAAATATCTGCAGTTAATAATTAAGACTTTTGAACATTTATCGTTAATTATTTTATATATAATACATCTAAATGCTGTTATACTTTATTTTATATTATATGTTCTTAATATTTTATAAAATTTCAGAATTAATTCATTAAACATTTATTTTCATAATAAGACTATACATATTTCTGTATACAGTTTTGGTATTTTAGAAATATCTTATGAAAAACGTTCTCCACTCTGAAAGTTTATATTAAAAAAAAATATTTATATAAGAAAGAATGAAATACTTCAAAATAAATAAGATAAATGGGTACTCTTATTAAATTATAAAAACTATTAATCATTGTTATATAAAATATTACTGATATGTAAATTGTGAGAGAAAGCGAAAGTCGTCGGCGGGAATATCATTCAAACTTCGAAAATGTAACACGTTGACGTGACAAATACAGTATATCCCAGAAGTAAATCGCACAGCGAGTAACGACAGTGCAAATTGTAAATATTTCTAAATGAGAAATAAATTAGAATCGCAATCATGTTATAAGATCTCCCTATTTAACTATTTGATTTCAAACCAAATTAAACTTCGTACTCCAGAAATAAAACTCGCAACTTTTACTTTTTAAATCTCTTCAAGTTACAATTAGGTAAATATTACATTGAAAATACAAATATATATATATATATATTATAATTATTCACATCACTGTCTTAGAAGAAGGTAACAGAGACGGCGCGAATGATTCCAGACATTGCTGGAGAAATAAAAGAATTTAGAATAACTCGTGATCTTGTTTATGGAGTTTCGATCGGCGCTGTTTATTCGCTCGAGATATCAGGATGACGTCGATATAGTGAAACACGAGGAAGCGCTGATCCGTGGGAAAGACTGCCCGGAGCGACTATGTCGAGTATTAAGCAAGGTGGCAGACAGACAGGCAGGCAGGCAGGCAGGAGGCGGTGTATATTATTGATCAATAAAAGCGGCTGGCATGAGCGCCCGTGTCGGTGGTGGCGGTGGTGGCGGCGGTGG